TCTAGTAGTAACTAATTATATATTTAATTAAATGATAATAAAAATAAATGAAATGAAATTATGAAATAACTAGCACAACAGTTAGTATAGTACAAAATCTTTTTTTTATTCATTCAAACATTGTACTATCAAATAAGTAATAGGCACTTATATAATCCATTATTCATTAAAAAAGAGAAAAAAAAGATGAAGACTTCTTTTAAGCATGCTTTTTATCTCTACCGTATAATCGTGCAAAAAACAATGTTCTTAAGAATTTTAAATTGTTTTGTTCAAATATGATGGAGACGAGAGTAATGTTAAGTGAATGAATGAAGAGTGTATTTTAAGAAAATCGTACGTTTTTTCTTCAAATTCGTGACTTATATTTTATCTAAATCTATGTAAGAGAATATTATAATCATTTCTTTCTAGTTAATATCGTGTCCTCTTTTCTCTTTTCAAGTTGCTTCTATTTCACTTCAAATAAGAAAAAAATTATTCTTCATTACACTTATATTTTCTATAATCTCAAGTCAACTTTATCACATACTGGTTTAAATAATTTACAAATACTCGGAAGTTTTTTATTTTTTATTCAGTATTATTATGGAAATAATAACATGTTTTCGTAATATAAATGAGTATATCATGTGCATAATAATGAAGAGTAAGCTAAAAATCAATCTAGAATGAAATAAAAAAACATTACCTATAAATACGTTAAAAAATAAAATTAATATCTTCAAGAGATAAACAGTTCGATCATGTGTCAGCAGATATTTAAACATCAGATAGTATTTTTGCTTCAGAACTTGAGTTTGAATTTAGTATATACTAAACATTACACGAAGTATATTAGAGATGAAATTCAAGAAGTGTTTAGTGAAGAGATTAAACAATATCTAATTCTATGAGCACGAGATGTTAAACTGCTTATTGTTAAATATAAAATGTTGTATGCAATCATTACTGTGAAAGACCATACATTCCAGGTCTACCCAATGGAAGATCAGGAAAGCGCATTACGACCTTCTGCCGTAACGAAAACAATTACAAGACTTTCTTTGATCAATTATTAAATTTTACTTTTTCATAATAGTAAAAATAGCGGACTAATTCCTACTTTTGTAATGTATACCTTACAGTGGTAAGGACAAAATGTGGTCAAACTACATTTTAACATAGAGAGTATATTAATAATAATAAAGCCTTATTCAATTCAAAAATAATAATAAAAATACAACGCCTTCTACGTATATTATGACCTAGGTGAACGAGTACGATATCATTAATGACAGATTAATATTCCGTGAACATCACATTGACAGATCATTTCCACCGTTCATACCGCTTTTAGACAGTTCTCATGTTATAGAACAACGAACACTTGACCGTTAACACACTGTTTATTGAAATACGCCTATTTTTGATTAATTTCTCCAAAAATATTGTTTTTACCCCTTTTCACTATTTTATTTGTTGGTTCTTGATACCATTCCTAAGCTACCGGTACTATCTCTAGAAAACAAGGTCAAGTATGAGTGTCACTTGCTCCAACAAGTTTTGTTGAAAGAAATGGTATGATGGTAAAACAGAAAAGTAAATAATTTGTTAACAAAACGGTGCTTACTAACTGATCGTGTTTTTTGCCGTCAGTTAACGATATAAAACGGGCAAACAACGGTTCGCTAACAGTGATACAAATAAAAAACGAGAACTGTACCGTTAACCAACCGTGTTTAAAACGTTCACTGACGATAAGAAAAGGATCAGTTAACGGTTCGCAACGGACAGTTATGAATCATTTGGAAGATTGTTTTTCTCTATTCCTAATTGACTTTATTATTGAATACAGGTCTTAGTTTATATCTTTAGTAATCTACGATACAATTATCACAGACTCGCTCACTCAAACACACGCGTCAGTTATGGTATTTAAATGTGCCTTCGTTGCAGAGGCATTGCCAAAAGCAAAAGGGTTTTGAAAATTAGGAGTAAACCTAGGAAAATTTGACGTGCCTATTGGAACTTTTTTTTGTAGGGCAATGAATCAATTTTTCTTTAACTTTCTCTGTAAAATCTATAAAAATAACAAGGTTCATAGAAAACCGAAAGAAAATAAAAAATCACTATAAAAAGAAAAGAAAATAGGAAATTATTGATTGAATCGTTATTTTCCTTATTTTATTAAAATTCATTTTCTTCTTTAGATAGATGTTAGTTTCTTAAAATTAAAAATTCATTTACACCTACAAAAATCTACTAACAACATCATATCATCTTGCACATGCATTCGTTAAAATAAATTATAAAGAACTCGCGTATTCTTTTTACAAACAACTGATCAAATAGAAGAAAAACATAGATGGATATAGATTGAATATGATACCAAAATGAAGGAAAACAAATATAATTGTAATAGCACGCGAAATCTATCATTTGAAACGGCCAAAATATAACATCATAACTCAATAGAAAACCGTGGTAGCAAAAGTTGACAGTAAAAATGTTTGACGTTCCCTTTCTCTGATGTCATAACAAAGACGTTGAAATCAATAGGAAAAATGTAGTATTATTGGAAAATAAAATTTTTACTATGTGCGCAATTTGTATGTATATGTCACAGTTGAATTTAAACTTTAGACTGATTCAAAATCCGAACAACATTATATTGTTTAAATAGCGATCTGAACATTGGTAATATCAGTGCCAAAGGAGGGGGGCGTACTTGATCAGAAAACGGCCCCTCATTTTTTTTGCGTTATTTTGACTGGACTTTTGTCGAAAAGACATTTGCATACATTGCCCAGTTGTTCTTATGGAAAATAAGCTCAAAATATGTTTTTAACGTTGATTATTTTGAGATTCCATCAGAAGCCGTCGTTGTTAGAAAAAATAATATTTTTGAAAAATTCGGCATAGGTTTCACACAAACCTTGATAAGAAAAAATAACCAGTGAAAAACTGAATAAAATACTCTATGAACAATCCTTATACATCGTTTCAATAGGAAGAAATTATTTTTACCAGAGACAAACTGACCTAAAAGGCGGTGTCACAGATGTTCAAGTACTTTTCTCGCCATATGTAAATGAGGATGCAATTTGTATTTGATATAGAAAAATAGCCAATGAAAAACTGAATAAAATGGTATATGAACCATAGTTATACCATATTACTAAGGAGAAATGGTTTATTTTCAAGCATTCCCTATCTAGTGACCATTCCTGAGTGATCATATTTTCCCATAAGCAAGAGAGGATGCAACTGGTCTTTAGTATAGAAAAATAGCTCTTGAAAAGCTCTACAATATTTTGAGTAAACAAACTCTACATACCATTGACTCAGTTCATTATAATTCAAATACGAGAAAAATCAATGAAATGCACTCATATTTTGCAGTTTTCACTATCAAATTTCAATTTTTTCTCAAAACCAACATCATATTTGGCATCACCGTTAAAAAACTGCATTAAACAATCTGTCTTTCGAAATTTTTAGATAACTTTGGGGCAATGCCCGCCCACTAATAAAAAGGTTTGAAAAATTTATTGGATTTCGGACTCGGTACCTTCCCGGACTCATCCAGTCTTGATAATAATCAGGTAGAGAAAGAGACAGTTTGAAAACGAGTACTTCCATCACATTATCGTAGTATTACAAAGAGATTATCAAACTGACTTTATAGTGTAATATTTCAATATCGACTATGATCACATGTAAAATAAATACATACAGACTTGAATCTGAACATGGTCAGAATTCTAAAACTGGCATGTATTCCCTTGACTTTAGTCTAGGATCTTGCAAAATGGTTCTTAGATATTCTATAGACAAGCCAATCACAAGAGAGAAAAATAGACAACTCTTAAAGATAATGTTCAGAGAGATGACCTGAAATATCTACTGATGAAAACAGAAAAAGCCAAAAAGCAAGTTCTTTCTATAATCCAGAGAGAGATGTCGCCAGAAATCAGTCAATTTTCATAACAAGAATAAAATCATCTATGAGTAATAAAACTTCAGACAGAAGATAGATAGTCTGTCACAGCGAATCGATCAGAAATAGTTGGAGCTCTGTTAGACGGTTCAGAGGATGTCCCGAAAACGTTTTAGCTTTATACCACACTGGACACTTTTTCCGTATAGTAGGATCAAAGAAGTACGCAACATTTCTGAGTTATTCTACTATTTTTAAACTTACATTAGATGAGGAACCTTACATATCAGATCAGTGAAAAATTCACAACATACTTTAGATAGCGAACGCTGACCGAAGGGAGGCGTAAACTTATTTTGGATTCAAAAGTCATAGACGGCCTTTCGCCGATATTAATTCCTAAAGTCAAGGGATAGAGCGACTGCAGACGAGCGTTATCTTGTAAGGAAATGGGGTCTAAAAACTTAATTGTTTGTTTGTCCGCAAAACATGGAAAACTAGCCGAAAATTAATCTATGGGCTAACCAAACAGAAGAGGCAAAAATGGAAAAAATGTCGATGTAAAACTGATAGAATTAGATTATCTGAAAAAAGAGTATACTCTAATAGATAGTTGTTTTGCCAGATGTCCTCCCCGCTCAGTACGAAACAAGCATCCATGGATTATATATACTTTCGAACATTTTGATCCATCAATCTTTTCTAGTACTCATATGACTTGATTTCAACATAGATCAACAAATTCTAGTTTCACAACTTCATGTAAACCTTTATCAACGACTGGTATGTAAATGATTCATTACTCGACAGAACAAAATGGATATAATTTTTTTTCTGTTCGTTTTTTAATTAAGATCAATTTTTTAAATGAGCCGTTTCAACAAACAAAACAGAAAAAACAAAGAAATAAAAGACAACAACGATCTTATTTAGAGTAAACAATCAGAAAAAAAACAACAACAACAACAAAATGATGTAAATACTTTTTTAAAATGAAAAACAAACAAATCTTCTTACATTTGAGGAAGCATTTTCAAAGAAAGGAAATTCGAAGCACAGATCATGAACAAACTGGTCACTAATCGTCTGAATCACTTTCCGTTCCGAATTCATCGTCATTTTCTTTTGGATTCGGGCCATTTTCTTCTTCACTAAAGTTCCATTGAGGATGTTCAAGTACCGCTGGTTCTTTAACTTCTTGAACGTCAAGCTAAATCAACGAAAAAAACAAACAAGGAATAGAATAATGTCTAAAATAACAAGATAAATACACTCACTGATAGATTTTCTGACGCGTCAACATCAAAATAGGAATCAGATTTTAGAACAACAGAATATACATATTGACCAGGTGTTTTAGGAGCAGAAAATTTCACTTCAATCTAAAATAAAAACAGAAATGTTATCAACATACTTTCTAAAGAAAATATGGTAGAAAAATGAACTAAAGGAAATACAGTTACATAATTCCGCTTAATTTTATACCATTCATAACTTACTTCTTCTTCGTCTTTTAATGTGCAAAGATAGACTGGTGCACTTATCAAAGAATGATGTTTTCTATCGGCAACGTAAAGCCACCAACATTCTTGTTTTATCTACAAGAAGAAAAAGCCCAATCATCTTTTCAGATATATGATAGATAAGTGACATACTTCTGGGAAAAAAGGACAAAATGCACGATGACTAATTTTTGCTTTTGTTTCTAATTTTTCACGTTTTCGTTGTTGTTGTTGAAATTTTTCTAAAAATGTATCTTCTTCAACATTTGATGTTGTTGTCGCTGTTGATCGCGCTTGAGTTTTATTCGTCCGTTTAGATACAGTTGTGGTTGACGTTTCGCGTTCATTTTGCTCTTCATCACTTTCATTCTGATCACTTGTTTTCTCATCACGGTTATTATTAGCAGCTGACTGTGACTCTGTAAAATAACGATCATTTGATAGTCTTAGCTACAAAGTAATATTATTCATAGACTTACCATCCGAAGACTTTGATGATTCGTCATCTAAACAAACAGATAAAGAGAGTAAAATAGTGAAGAAATTTGATGAAAAAATATTACCACTTGAATCTCTTTGGTTAGTATCTCCTTTGGCATTTTTTGCTGATGAATTTTTTGACGTGGTTACAGTCGTGCCAGCCGGAGAAGAAGGAGCGACGGTAGGAGATGTTGATGATGTTTTATTTTGAGGTGTCATCGGCTTCTTTTTTTGTTTGGCTGTTTTTTCTTTGGGCTTTTTCTTTGATTGTTTATTGGTCCATCCTTTTTGCTTGGGTTCTATCTGAAAAAAATAAAGAAAAGGAAATTGAAAGTAGATGATAATAGTTTAGCAGTAAATGAAGTAAATACAATGGGAATTCAGATGGCCTATCCTTTCTTTTGTAAGAAATATTCATTTGAGAGCTACTTTTGAATTATGACGGTAAAAACAATTTACTAAATGCCTTACTTTTTCCTTATCTTTGTCATTTTCATCGTCTTGTTGTTGATTTTCTACTAGATTATGATGTTGTTCATTTGAAGTCTGTTGCTCTTTGTTAAATAAAACTGCCATATTCTCCCTTTTAAGCCTCACAGTTAATGTTACAATAGCGCCGGTTGTGACTAAATGTTCATTCTCATCATCAAAAACTAAAACAAAAAGAATAAATGGTAAATTCAAAAGTCTATAATGAAAGATGACAACAATTAGTGCTGGTAAGCAAATCAATTAAATTTGACTAAAATTATTTAAAATCAACATTGAGATGATAACGACATGTTTATATACCTTCTAGTTTGACTGTTATTGTAATATATGGATATATTTCTAAAACGCTAATGATTTCATCATATTGTTCATCAGTTATACTTCTCAACATCGATCGACGTTGTTCATTATCCATTTCAGCAAATTGTTTGATTGATTTGATTGTACGCTAAAATCGAATACAAAATGGTATCATAAACTCAACAATAGACATATCATACATACCTTTTTGGATTCAAAATATCTTAAATGATTGTCTGTTATATGTGGAAGTTGTAACAGTGGACTCTTTGTATTCCATAGTGCTTGAACGATCATTGGTGATAATTTCATTGTATTTTCAATTGAGTCCAAACGGGGCGGATGAGAAACTATAATAAAATGAGGGGAACTGCTCAGTATTTTTTTGTAAACGCTCAGTATTATGTACAAAATTATCAGTAAATAAATCAGACTATCAGTATAAAATTTCGTGTTCGGTAACTATCATGTCTGCTCAGTAAATTAATAATTTGTGTGTGTGTGATGAAGTGGAGAGTGTGGAGTTTGGCTGCAGCTGTGGGCTCGAGTGCGGGGTGAGAGAGAACCGTGGAAAAACCACTTTGGAATCGTTAAAGATACCGGAACCGTTAAATCCTCAGATCCATACAAAAAATTTTAAATCTATGTCGAGAAATTTACATTTTTTCATTCTTGGGATTAAAGATTTTAGTGTATATATAAAATATTGTTTTCTTTAATACTGAAATATGTGGCGTCTTTAATCTCAATAATTCAATAGTGAAAATTTCTCAAAATACATTTAAAATTTTGCCAAATTCATGCCTAAAATGCATGATATGTGAGAGCAAAAAAGGCAAGTGTTTAATGAAAAAAATTAAAGCGAACACATTTTTAATTCGATTTTGATTTTGTAAGGATAAAAATGGGATTTATCTGTTTGGAAAAAATGAGATGTCAGTAATGAGTTCTGTAAGAATGTTAATTGCAATTATTTTTCAAATTTATTGTTTAAACTTACGTCTTCCAGCATGTGCCATAGCGACAAGTTGTGCTTCAATGCTAACCATTTCGTTAATTAAATATGGACATCTTTTCACAACATATCTTCTATCTAGATAACAAAAATATAAATATTTTATTAATAATTAATTGAATAATTTTTGTTATATTCAAACCTTTTTCTAAATTTTCACTTAAGTTTGTTATACGTTGAAGATGAGAATGTAGTAGAGCACGTGCTTTTAAACTATAGGGAAATTGAAATGGACGTTCTTTCGTTTTTTCTTGTACATCTTGTAAATCTTTCATTAACTAAAATTTTATAAATAAAAATGTGATAATTATATTTATAAATTGAGATATATCATGTAGGTTACATACTTTAGGTAATTCAACATTATCACTTGGACGTTCAACAATAGCTGGATTTCGAGTTTTTTCAAATTCCATTGATGAACCCAATATCATCAAGGCACCTAAAAGATAAGAAATCACTATTCGTTATAGACAATAAAAGATTAGAAAAACAACAAGAGAATCTATATTATATGGTAATTCAATTACGTTCTGTAGACCTATATGAGCCTATTCAGAATAGACTTTCTCAGAGTACAATACACAAAGGATGAGAGCGGATACGAGAGATTGTTGTTCCCAAACATTTTCCCCAAAAAACCATAGAAATATAGGTTATTTATCATGCTGAACAAACAAAATGGCTTACATAGATTTTCAAAGTTCAAACTTTCGATTTTTTTATGGAGAAATCTTGTTTTACTGTCAGAAAATTTGAAACAGAAAGAATTAGAAATAGTGTTACTATCACTATAAAAGCCAGCTTTTTTAAAGATAAAAGTTATCAACTATACTCAAAAAAAAACCATCAGCTATCCGAATGTGATGGAAAAATGCACTCAAATTTTTTCTAAACAACTGAAAAATCAATAATAAGACTAAAATATAGTAAAATCGTTCCATTAGCTTTATTGTTTTTACTACCATCAGTTAAAAGAAGCTTGATGCAAGATGAAAATATTATAGTATATACAGTTCTTTATGCATTATCAAATGAGAATATTTAGAAAGATAAAAAAAATATGTTTTTCTAGTAGTTAGAAAACCATGTTTTCCCAAACGGTTTTGAGAAAACTCCTCGTTAATAAAAATATGTTTTAATCATCGAAAAAAGATAGTTCAACTCATTTCCCGTAAAATGAGATGTCGTTAATATTTTTAGCTTGTTTTCTTTCCGAGATATATAGATTTTAAAGTGTGCAGTATTTTGTACCTATTTTCTCATAGAGAAAAAAAAATGTTCTCATAGAGCAAAAATGTATAGAAAACTAAGATCTATATATTTCGGAAAGAAAACAAGCTAAAAATATTAACGATCTCTCATTTTAAAGGAAATAAGTTGAACTATCTTTTTTCTATGATCGATATTTGATTAATATTAATGTTTTATAATGTACTAAAAATTATTGGCTTCGAATACTTTTATATAAGTTTATAATACATTACATTAGAAATGTTCTATGTCATTATAAGAACAATAGAAAAACTACTCTATACTGTCGTAATACAATAACTCGAATACGTTGTAAATGCATTATAAAGTGTCTTATGACATTATAATGACATACGAATTCGTCAAAAACATAAATTTTCGTTCATTTATGGTATTAATATAGAAAATGAGACAGTAAGACTTAATACTTTTAGAATTTTGTTTAACAACTTTTAAAACTCAATAAACAAATCTTTTCAAAAGCAAAAGAAACGTATTTTGTACAAAGGTCACTTTTTTTTCAGGGCATTTGTCGCGATATTTATATCTCCATGAAAACTTATCAGAAAAAAAATTCTGGCCGACATCTCATTTTAAAGAGAAGACTTTCTTCTTCTATCAGACTATGTATAAGAATTAAAAATTTGATAAGAAAACTTTATGAAACTAAAATATTGAGTCTTTTAAGGCTTTGAAGGAAAAACTCCAAAAAATTCAATAACTTTCGCAGGATAAGAGTCCAAAAGGATTTTTACTAGGACACTATACAATATCTATCGGCAAAAGATTTTATTGAAATCGGCGTTGGATACCTGAACAGATTCCCTCGTTAGTTAAGAGAAAAAAACATACGTTTAACGATCATATTTGGTGTTCGTCCAAGTAGAATATAATATAATTGTGCTGTTTCAATAAGAATATGATCACCGGCATAACGTGCTGATTTTTGCCACCAAACACACTGAAAAAACACATAGATATAGTAGTTTTAAATTATAAGAAAAGAATTTTCTATTTACCACAACAACTGGTAAGACAATCATAAATATTCCAGCATATGTTAATAGAACAAATACAGAATTTTTATGATCAACAAGCCATTTTGGTAAAGCAATGCCAAAATGAGTTACTAAAATGAACGATTTATAATAATTAGATTAAAACAAAATGCATTTTTTATCTTTTTTCTTTACCTCCTGGTCCATCTGGATTACCATGCAATTTCCAATTATTTTTAGCTTCTTCATCTGTCAATGCTTTATAAGCTTTAGCAATTTCTTTCTAAAAATAAATACACATTAGTTTTTGTTTCTTTTTTTTTGTAGAAGAAAATTCAATTCATAAAACTCAAATTTACAATAATAAATAACTTACAAACTGTTCTGCATCACCACCACGATCAGGATGATGTTTTTTACTTAATTCACGATAAGCACGTTTAATTTCAGCTACGGCTGCTTCCTAAAAAATAATATCGAAACGAATTTTTAACTAATGATGAACAAACTAATCTTCTAATTCAAAGTTTAAAAGATAACATGGATATTAACTCTTTGACTAGCGTGAACATCTTTTGACGTCAAGTAGTTTACAACTTTTGACTGGTATCGGCGCCTTTTGGCGCTTTGCGTAACTGTATAACAGCTGTATATTGTAAAGATTATTTCTAGTCTTTTTTATTTGTTCTTTTGTCTTTTCTTTACATGCCCTGTACTTATGTACATTGTAGTTATTTTATTTTTGGCTTTGATTATCTCTCTTTGTTTAGGAGTTAATAGAATAGTCTGTCCAGATTAGCTGTTTTTCTCTCATTTTTTGTTGTTTTCTACTGTTGTTCTAGAAATTCTATCTACAAAAACAAATCTTTGATGGAGTATTATCGAGACCGTTGAAGAAATGTGCGTTTATAGTAGTCTATTTTTATTCAATTTAAGAACATTTTCGATTCTTCTTTAATAATATACTTTTTAATATATGGAGGATATTTTTTATTTATTTAACTGAAGAAGTATCGAAAACGTTCTTAAATTGAATAAAAATAGACTACTGCAAACGATAGGACATGAAATTTGAATAGTCGGGTGCTAGTGAAAGAGTTAATTGAGATTTGACACTGATGCAACTAATTATTGTTTAGATACTGAATATATCTGAAGTCTCTTTTTATTTTGTTTTTGTTACGTACTCTGTCAACTCCAAGTATAGAAAATGGATCATAATCTTTGTGTTCAAGTTCAATTAATGATACACGATAAGCTAATATAACAAATATAATCCATGCAATAATAAAAATAAATTTACTGCAATAAAAATAAACGGGAAGTATAAATAAGATGAATATTACAAGAAAAAAAACGATAATATACGTACACTGCTCTTAATTGAAAACGTTTAAGTGGTTCACCAGCATTTAACAATTGATATTTATTGCGACATGGTGAAAAATTTGATTTATCTTCTGGATGTAATGTTGTTCGTCGTTTTTCTTGTTTCGGCCATAGCCAATAGGTGGTTGGAATAAGTACTAATGCATAAAATGATAATAAAAAATAATAAAATTTACCACCATTTTCGTCATACTAAATAAAAATTCAAATAGATAATTGAAAAAAAAGACAAGATACATAGATGAAATAAAAATAGTTAGGGTTATTATGAACCCCATTACACAAGTAGCGGATAAAGGTTAATAGCGAACAAAAGTTAGAACAACACTACACAATTGTTGGAATCGAACACTAAAACTATGAATTTTAATGCATCAATTTTACTTTTGAACTAAATTATCCAAAAGTAAACTTAAAATGTTCAATTTCCTCATCCTGTGCATTGTTATACTGTGTTCTATCCTTACTGCTCAACCCATGCATTTTATAAAGTCATAGAAAACCTCAAACCTTGAACTTTCAACGCGTATATCATTTTTGTTGCAACAAACTCACATAATTCATAGAAAATTTTCACAGTAAAATTATCTGGTCTCTATATACATACAGAATTTTATCATCGAATTGTTTTGGTGATGTTCTACACATGTAGTCTCAACTTAGCCAGTCAAGACTTGAACTTTTCTACCCTTGTAAAATACATTTTTGCTTATGATTCTGTCTTTAGGGGTGGCACTTTACTAGTTACTAAGTTAGTTACTTGTAACTTCGTTACTGTTTCGTCACTTTAGTTACTCCTCCTGAAAGTAACGAAAAACCGTTACTTTACTGGTAACGAAGTAGCGAACTTAGTTACTCGTTACTGATAGCGAAATAACTAGATTAGTTACCTCTTTACTAGTAACTAGTTACAAGTAAAATAAAGGTAAAGTGCCATCCCTATCTGTACTCATTCAAAAATAGACCTCTAAACCAGTCTGAGTCTAGTCTCTCTGAAAGATACTAAATACTAAATGCAGAATGTGAATAAGAGAACTCTCAGAGCTTTGTAATCACTCATTTTATAGGGAAAAAATTTATCTCTTCTTTTTTTTCAAATTTCACACTTTTTCGCCTACAGATAGAAAAATCATTTCTTAATGTTGCTCCTTGTTCATCGAAAATAAACAAGAAATAAATCAATATTTGTCTACCTCAAATTTCATTCCCGCCATCTCGTTGATTAGTTAAATTAATAAATTAGATGATAAAATAATTCATGTTTAGTTAATCATTTATAGACATTCACAACACTTCAAAAACAATAAGAACGTTTTCTTAGAATTCGTGATCTTGATTTTTCACTTCGACACGAAAACAAGAATACAGATCTAAAATAAAATAATAGTATAAAATTCATAATTATAATGTTAATATATTTCTCTAATAGCGAAAGAAACTCTCGAAAACACCAGTGTGTAATAATTCATGATGATAGAATTTTATCTTCAAAGTAATTATTATTAATCATAAGAAAAAAGACAAAAACAAAAAACAACTATTCTCAGAAATTAAACTATCTATTATTTACTAATATCATCATTTTACAGAAATTTATAACAATAATTCTGTCAAAAAAGTATCTGATAATTGATGTCCTCTTGGCATTTTTTTATTTTTTTCCATTAACAATAAATTGCCCATAAAAACCTACTTTTTAATTGTTAACTTATCGTGTGTCAGAAATTTTCTTTCTTTGTGCCATGGGCGAGTCCGGGGAGATACCGAGTCCGAGCCAAGTCCGAGTCCTTGCAAGTTCAAGCCGAGTCCGAGTCCATTTCGAGTCCGGTAATCTTTTAGATTCTTTTTGATGAAGGTGGTTTATATTTTAATTTGCTGAGCCCTGAATAGATATTTGATTTTTCGAAAATAAGGGTGCATTTCATGTCCGTCTCTCGAATAAAATTTTCAATTTCATGTGAAACAGTAGGTGTTGTTATTTCGCTTTTCATTTTTCTCTACTCATTTGTGTTAAAAGTTGAATAGATTGGACTCGAAATACAAAAACTCAAGTTCGAGTCCGAGTCCTTCAAAAAAATCTCCAGTCCGGACTCGGACTCACCCATGCCTGGTGCCATGTTTCTAATTGCCATAAATAATAGTTTTGTTTCAATGAGAAAGAAAAAGTTATTTCTATTTGATTTTCTCTAATAATCATTCTATCTATCTCTAGTATTTCAAAATAGAATTGCTCTACAAACATTTATTAATGTTTATTGAAAAAAAAACAAGGAAGAAAACTGAACGGTGTTAGTGGAATAAGAATATGCAAAAAACAACAACAACAACAAATGTTCAACACTGAAAAATTCCATTCTCAAACGCAACACATATACATACACACACACACACACATGTGCGCACCACTGATAAAAATTAATTAAAATAAAACAAAAGCAAAAAACCAGTTAAAAAATAAATAAATATCAACAAAAGAAGATTCACTTTGGGATGTACATATAAATAACATGACAAACAAAACAAATTGAATATGAGGATAAAAAAAACATGACGTAAAATCACAAAAAAAACAATAAAATATTTGATAAATTAAATGAGAAAAAAAAGAAAAAGTTTGTTCCAAAATTGTTAATAACAATACACAAGATGAATAGAAAAAACAACAACAAAAAGCTGGAATGATTTATTATTATATTATAACCACAGTAGAGTTAAATTTTTCTTTTTGAACCTTTTTTCAAATAAAGAATTAAACTAATAGGGCATTTAAAACAATGAAAATATTGAGTTCAAAGTTTTATATACACACACACACACACACACACAAATAGAGAAATAATCTGTTAGAATAATTATAATACATAAAATAGTTTTTCTTTTTGTCTTTATTTTTCATTGAACTACTCTTAGATTGTAGAAAATGGTATAGATTTTATACAGAAGAAATTTCAAGAATTGAACTATAAAAGAGAAAATAAAAAGCCCCTATTTTATTTGATACATTTTAGAGCAGTGTATAAAGCCGGTTAGAGTACGCTTTGGTGCTACCATGCACATCATATAAAACAAGAAGAAGAAAAAAAAACAAAACAACAACATACAAACACAAAAAAACCGAGATCGTTTTGATATTCATTTATCATTTTAAATTTATGGACGAACTGCACACACACGAAAAAGCATCACGTAGACAAGAAAAAGAAAATGGACGATTACTAATAGTCTGGTTTATATTTCATAGAATGAGAATATTTTAAAAACAGAAAAGCGTTCAAAAAGAGAAAAAAAACAGAATAAAAATACATTATTACTATAGAGAAGATGAAGAAAGAAAGGAGAATTCACGAAAATGTGATGTTTTAAATTAACTCTCATATTATTTTTAACGATAATGTCTCATTAATTGTAGAACATATTTCGACGATATTTGACCAGAGTGTGAATGTAAATAAGCCTTACCACCATTTTTTAACCATTCTTGTTCAAAATCTTTTTCTAATATTTCAGCACCTACAAAAAACAAAAAATGAAAAATAAAAGAGACTAAGTACTACGTTCATTAGTGTCAATATATATATTTTTTTTCCCTTCTGTACAGTTCAATATCTCGATTAAAATTTTAATACGATATATACCTTTCTTATTTGCTAATCCAGTTTCGTCCAAACTCAATTCACACATATTATGATCTTCAACTCCTAAAATTAATCGATAAGTTAAATATTCAACATCCTGTAGGTAAATTTTATCAATGTTATTTTATTAGGCAAAAATGTGAAAACTTTTATCTTTAATTTTTAAAAAAATATTATTAAAAAATGGTAAAATGACAATGTATACAGGAAGAACGTAAATTTGTTTTATTCTACAAAATTCAGTGATAGAAACTTACATGGAAAATGGAAGAATCTTCTTCTCATTATTAAAATCATAATAGTCGAGTGTTTAGATTCAATGTATAAATTTTAAAAAATATTCGAATTTATGGCTGAGGACGCCTATATCTAATAGCGCATTTTCAGTAAACCATAGATCTGATGAAAGTCACATATTGATCATTCCATGTAGCTCGACCGAGAACATGAGTCCGACACACTTTTTCTCTTCATATCTTTCGAACAGAAGAATGTCAGTAGCTCGCAATTCTCTCATTTTGTGACGAAAAGTATGCTTAACAATAGAAAATATGTCAAAAGTCTCTAAGACTCTTGATTATGCAGATATATCAACAAATCGAAGATGTACATTATTTGAAAAAACAAAATTTTTTTAAAGAGCAGTGTTGAATATCTATGTAATATCTTAATAATCAAGAGTCTTAAAGATTTTTGACATGTATCCTATTGTTAAGCACACTAGAGAATCGCGAGTTACTAACGTTCTTGATCGAGTTATATAGAATGGCCGATTTACAATCCGCACTCATCAATATATCTACTAATCTCTGTCTCTACAGAATAATGTTTATTCATCTATCCATCTGTCTGGATGTTTTTTTTTATACAGAAAGTGCAAAAATCGTAGTAACCCAACAAAAAATCTTTTTAAACTTTAAACTTCATTTTTTCTTCTTATGAAGTTTGAAAGTTTTTTACAAAAGTCATTCACCTACCAGCTACTAATAAAACAGGAGGTTTATCGGGATGCAATTCCATCTGTCTAGCTATCCATTTATCTAGAGCGAAAAATGATGATTGTTTGATGAGTAAAAATGTTTTTATCTTATTTAAACCTACTGTCAAAATGGGCATACCACCATCCATTTTTCCGTTGGTCATTATCTTCCAGATTCTTATCTGTTGGGCGACGAAATGGAATACGAAAATAACGTTGTTCATTTATTTGATCACTTTTTGATTGTGAAGATGAATTTGATTTGGAAGCTGCAGCCATAGGCATGCCTGTTAATTCAGCTAGAATAATGAAAAATTGAATATCTCAATGTTAAAAGGATATTAAAAACAAAATATTTACCTTTATCCATGATATCTTTGGGTGCACGTTCATCATCACGCTCGATTCCATTTTTTAATTTACGATTTTTTGATTTCCATGCATGATAGACTTTCAAACGACGATGAAATTCTTCACGACATGCGTCCAATAATTCAAGATCTAAATAGAATAAAATAGATATAAACCAGATCAGGATATATTTAGTCTATAAGAGATTAAATACCACAAGATGTATTAATTAAATCACGTAATTGTGCATAGGAATGTTTTTGAAGGTCAAATTTTGAGTTTACAGGCTTTGATCGTGATCTAAATGAAAATAAAAATGTTATTTGATCTGTAATCGTTTAGTATATTATTCTGCTATTTAGATTTTTAGCTGCCGCTAGAAAAATGTTTTTTTTTTTTGTTGTTGTTTTTTATGCCAGCGTGATTTATAGTCACAGACCTAGTGATGAAATATCACATTGTTTATAATTATCGAGTATCGAATGTGATGACCACTGACTTGACAGTTCACTGATAAGAGCAATGAGGTATGCACCAGTTACAATTAAAAAGCAGTTCGCTGTAACTAGTATAGTTAAAAACTCTCGAAAAATAAGATTTTATTCAACAAGAAGTACTAACATATTTAAAGTGAAACTAAAATTTAAAGGCATAATAATTTAAATGGGACTTTTTCTCTTATTTACGGATTCGAAAAGATCAGAAACTTTACTTTTACGTATAAATTTTTTCTTACAGTTATGATCAGCATTATCGATTAGGGAGTGGTAGGGGGTGCAAATCTACCACCTCGTTTGGATAAAGTTACTCAAAAAATTTTGGCTTACTCAAATAATTAAAGAATGACGAGGAAACCTCCCGAGGTGATAAATCGCTTTTTGATCGACATCTAGTGGGTTATAGGTTATCGACCATGCTGATTCCGAATATGACCATGAGACTTTCCCATAGCTCTTCGAAGATCCAGTCTTCTGGAAAACCAGTTTTTCAGAAACCCCAAAAAATAACCCAAACCTTTCTTAATAATGCAGGATTGTAGCCCACAAATTTCTGATTAAAATGAAACATCCCCTCAGCTCTATACGACCTTTCTTTGCAAAGTTATAGATTTTATAAGAAGAGCCCTAAATTAATTTCTTCTTATTTCTGTAGCTCTGAGCTGACAATGAACAATTTAGGACTTTTCTTATAAATTCTATAACTTTGCAAAGAAAGGTCGTGTAGAGCTGGGGGATGGATGTTTCATTTTAATCAGAAATTTGCGGGCTACAATTCTGAATTGTTAAGAAAGGCTTGGATTATTTTTTGGGGTTTCTGAAAAACTGGTTTTTCAAAAAACTGGATCTGCGAAGAGCTATGGGGAAGTCCCATGGTCATATTCGGAATCAGCACGGTCGATAACCTATAACTCACTAGATGTCGATCAAAAAGCGATTTATCACCTCGGGAAGTTCCCTCGTGAGTCTTCAATTGTCTTAAAGTTACTCAGCGTACTCTCTTAACACTATGGCAGAGATATCGGACTATACCCGATTAACCTTTCTCCTCGAATTGTAGTACTACTATATCGATTCTTTATCTGCTTTCGTATTTATACGTAAGATATGGAAACAGACTAGACCTTTACCTCATTAAAAATTGCAAAGGTTCAACTTCACTGTTCGTCTCTTGTCCCAAACGCCAAGCTAATTCATAATCACGACGTTCAATTGCTTCTCTAATTTTGTTTTCTTCTGCTTCTTTTAACATACGTTCTTTCTAGACATATGAAAAGAACAAAGGCTATCGAGTGAATCGATGAGCAAATATCTCATACCATTTTTGACTCTTCAGTACCCAATTTTCCCATTAATTGTTCTGCTTCTTTCTGTCTAGCAGCTAATTTTGCTCTCCTAAATAACAAGAAAACACATCGTTGAATAGAAGAAAAAGACACAAGTAATATGTAGAAAACTTCGTTCTTTTTAAAGGCAGTTGTATAAGATAAATAATGGATAAAAAGTTTAATTTAATTTTCATATTTTTTCTATGCTTACATTTTAAAATCTTCTGATTCGTGTACTGATCGTTTGTCTTCATCTGTTATTTTATTTCTTTCTCGTTCCAATTCATTTTGTATTCTATGTAATCGATCTTGTTCTTCTTTAACTTTTTGTTGTTCAAGTATTTGTTTTAATGAGCGTAATTCACGATCAATTGCTGAAAACAAATCATTGTATGCATTCTCAATTTGATTTGAAGACATTTGAGTATTCTAAAATGAATAAATAAAAGATAATTCTACTTTCATCAAGAATATTTCTGACTAATTATTACCGTTATTTTTCCAATTAATTCATCTACACGTTGTTGAAGTTGTTGTACTTGTTTGACAACTTGTTCTTTGTTTATTTTCATTTGATTAGCAATTTGTTCCATCGATGCTACTTGAGCATGAAGAGCTTTCACTTTGATTAATCCACGAATTCTATTTGAAAAAACGATAAAAAATACACATTCATATCATTTTTGTTTTTAAATATAATTTATTAGATTAAACTAAATTTCTTTCATTTTTCACCCTCATGTTCTTCAGTCTATTTGGTAGTAAAGATAATATAAAATTTAGTATGAAAAATACTTTAATTTATGGTTACCTTGGTGCATATTGTTTATATACACGCCACATTCGAACACGTTTTTGTATTTGAATTAAACATTGTCGACGATAAATAATCTTGTTTTTAACTATGAAAATAACAAACAAATGTATTTATTATTGATTAAATAGAAAAATGATTGTATAAAACTTGAACACATTGTACTCGACTACTTTAATTTAATTTTTATGTGATATGATAAAGATTTTATTTTTGTGTAAAATTTATTTTCATTACATAGAAACAAGTGAGTGTTCGGCTTGATCAAGTATCTCTGCTACCGCAATATCATTCAATAACGTTTTTTCTACATTTTGTTTCTTACATAGTTTTTGAACGAAAGACGATCCAGAGCTCTTAAGGTGATGAGAAAAATGTGTTGAATATGTTTTGAGATGTCTCCATACTGTACATGATCTTTCATTCAAAAGCCGAGATTAAAAAAAAGCTCCTAAAAAATGTTCAACACACTTTTCTCTTCACTTTAAGGCGTTTCAGAGCATTGGATCTACTTTCGTTCGAAAACTATGAAAAAAACGTTACGGAAGGAGATTGCGGTAGCCGAGTGACTTGACCATGTCGTGTTACAAAATGCTTTTGATCAAAAAGGATCGGTAAAAATCACTAAAACTTTCTTCACTGCATAAAGTACTTTTAGAATATAAACAGATATCTCTCGAAATTTTTGTTGGTTCTTAGCGGTTTTTACTCGAAAAAATCTATTATTGAACATAATAGATAGTAGATCAAATATTTTTCTACACGCTGTCTCAATAATTATCTGAAAATGTTCGATTAGTTTTTGACTCCCATCTGAAAAAATCGGAAGAGCCCCCCATTCGTGTGTCGCTTTTTATTTCATTTGAGATAAAAAGAGACAGTTTAGTCAAATACATGAAGTTTTAATTTACTATTCGTCATTAATTAAGTCGAAGAGATAACATATTTTAAAAATACCTCATATAGTGGATAAGATCTTCCTCTCTCTATCAGATAATTTTAAGCTCATTATTATTTAAACTTATTAAGCTGATTAAGATGCAATAAGCTGTATTTAACATTTTGTTCTAACAAAACGTTTACTCTCTTATTTTATCAAGCAGAAAAATTTATGTTAAAAATGTTTATCATTACACAAACTTTGAGGAGTAAAAAAGAAAAAGGGATAGATATACTTAAATATGCATATACGTACGTTTAATAACTGATAATGCACACCATTGTGCTTTTTTCCATCTAGTCCACAATAACCATTTTTTTACTTTTGATATTAATACTGCAAGATTATCTGGATCCGATTTCATTATTTGATCAAATTCAGCAAATTTTCCGGGACGAAAAAATACTTTTGTTAAACCAAATTTAAAATCGGCATCTTTTAAATTTAATGCTTTAAATAATGCCTAAAATAATTAGATTAAAAAATATTCTATTAGTATACAATTAAAAATGATTATAATGACATATATTATACTTTGCAAAATAATCTTGGATCTAATCGTGCTAATTCTGCTGGTAGATACGATTTATACATATTATATAATTCAGAGAATTGAGTACGAGATGGAAAACCTTGTTGCATTAAATCCAATACAGATACCATTCCTAAAATACAATAAAAATTAAATAATTCATTTAAAAATATAAAACATAACTTTAACTTACCACTACATTGTAACTGACTTAATATTTGACCACCTTCAAACAAATTTGGAACCATTTTTATATTTGGTTTTATACAACGAACAAAATTAATGCCCTAAATAACAATATGAAATAATATAATATTCTTAAATATCAAAAGTTTAAATAACAAAATCTATTTTATATAATTCTTATTGTGTATAGAACTTTTACACATGTTGAAATAAAAACGACATGTAGTATTCATGGCAGAACACATAGAACTTCAGCGCTAACGAGGAAACCTTTGAAGATGATTAAAGCCATTTGAACTCATATTTTACTCATCAACAGAGTCAATAGTTCTAAAGAAAAAGTCTAAAAGGATTCATATTCTAGCGACTTAGCTACAAAGTTATAGTCAATTTAAATTCTGTACAATAGACTTTTAGATTTGGCTAGATTTATTTTATATTTCATCATCGTTAACGTTTTAACAGATCCGAGACAGATCCATCTAATAGCTAGTGGTTCTAAAAATTTCACATTTATACCTTTTTTGCCTGAGGAGAAACGAAATAAATAAAACTGAAAATTTCAGAGCAATCAGATGTGTTTGTAGACAAAGCTTCAACCCTTTAAGGGTCCCCCCTCAGAAATGATCTCTGACACCGTACATCCAATCTTGACGAAACTTTCCATAAATGTTAGGTACAATCAGTTACGGGAATGGAAAAACTTTGTTGTCTCCAAGTCTTACCGTTCAGGAGTCTTCCTGAGATCAAGGTTCAAAGAGGACCCTGAAGTATGTCCCAAGATTTTTTAATATACTTCAAGCTGGAGAGTTCGGGTTTGTTTTATTTTAAACTAAACACCTAACTACATCGACTGACAGGAGCCGATTTTTTAATTAAGCCTTTACTGGTTTTCCAGGTAACCAACAACCTCCAAAACCCAAAAAAGCCTTCCGGATTTTCTAAAAATCCGCTATTTGACAAAAAACTAGGACCCAGTAGGAACAGTATTGAGATATGAAAAAACCGAGTTGTACAAAACGGTTCAAAAGTTTAGTTTCTTTTCAAACAAAGGTGTAAATGTAAAACTTTTAAAGCTATGATGGTGAAATATAAAATAAATCTAGCCAAATCTAAACGTCTACTGTACAAAATTTAAATTGACTAACTTTGCAGCTAAGCCGCTAGAATACGAATACTTTTAGATGTTTTCTTTAGAACTATTGACTCTATTGATTAGGTATGCATGAGAACTGAAACTGTTGGAAAAAAGTTTTGAAATGAATTCAAATGAAATTTTAAATTCTATTGAAGAAAATACGGTAAAAAAATCAAAAGCATTTTAATAGGAAGGCTTTTCAAAGCTGAAGTTTATGGAGTATAAGTAATTAATTATGGAGCTCCTCTCTGACCTGCGCCTGTGATTCAAATAATCTACTACGATATCTATGAAATGTTCTGTGCATTTTACGCATCTCTAAGCTCTATAATCAATTATTTGTACACCATAAACTTCAGCTTCGAAAAGCCTTCCTACTAAAATGCTTTTGATTTTTTTACCGTATTTTCTTCAATAGAATTTAAAATTTCTTTTGAATTCATTTCAAAACTTTTTTCCAACAGTTTCAGTTCTCACGGTTCCAGTTCTTAACAGTTCCAGTTTTCACAGTTAAAAACAAGAACTGGTGCATACATACTATTGATGTAAAGTATGAGTTCAAATGGTTTTAATCACCTTCAAACGTTTCCATTTGAGTTCTTTCAATCAAATTACACTATGATGTAGATACAAAACAAGTCTTTCTAATAATAAAATATACGCCAAAAATTGAACTTCGAAAACAAAAAATAGAGAAAAATATATTCTTAAGCTATAAAGACACTCACGTTCTCTCGTTCATAAAATTTCATACGTTGTACATATAAGTAGAGTACGCTTAACAATTTTAAAGACGATAAATTTCTATTTGTACTTACTGTATTTCGTAATTTATTCATTAAATCAGTTAATTGTGATCGAAATTTACTGCCAACGCTGATAAAATTTAATTTTCCAGTCTGTGCTAATTCTGGACTATCGGCAAATAAATTTTTAATAAATGAATTTTTACATTCTTGAATGAGAACAATCAATGAAGCATGTAAAGCATCATTATTCTTTTCTAAAAATTGTTCCTATAAGAAAAATAAAAATAATGAAAAATAGAACAAGAAAAAAATAAAATTTTCAATAAAAATCTTACCGTTGAATAGACCACACCACCAGCATAATGTCGAATTAAAAATCCTTCATCATCTCGAATTTCACGATTTGAACGTAATTTTGATTTACGTGGAAACTAAAATAAGAGAAGTAATAAAATTGAATTGATGATGATTTTATAATAATAATGACACTTACATCTAATCTTGGATGTCCTTTATTTCGTTTATGTACTTCAGCTGTAAAATGATCCGGTTTTGGTGTAGGTAATTTACTTTCTTCATCTAATAAATCAAATGCACCTGTCGTTTTTGCTTCAATTAAATCTAAATTCAAATAAAAATAAAAATAAAAACAAAAAATATTATTTTATAGAATATTAAAAAAAAAAAAAAGAAAATAACAACCACACACACAGTACGTGCATAAAAATTATTAAAATTCATGCGTATTAAATAGGGAAAAAATTAAATAGGAAAAAAAAAGGAACACAATCGTCGTTATTTTACTTTAAATCAATACTCTATAATAGAAAGATCTTTAATTTTTCGGTTTTTTTGTTTTTGCAACTATGAAAATAGACCTTTAAACAACAAAACAGCATATTATAACTGACGTTATAATTCAGTAGAGCTGAGGATATTGAAAAAAAAAAAAACGACACTGCACACATTATATTCAGGATTTTGTTTAATGCAAAAATCGTGCATCATTTTAAACTGAAAACATCCTTCTATGAAACATTTCTAAAAACTGATATTTCTAAAATTATCAATCTAAAGTAAACAGATAACCTACCCTATTGTTTATTCTGAAGAAGAGATAAACTATCGATGTACAGTACAAAAAAGAACATAAATTCTACTTGCCTATACAATCTTGATTATCAATGTAACTAATTTTTTTCAAACCAAGACCTTCTTTTTCATACAATGTTTGTTCCTAAAACATGTATAAATACAATGTACATAATTTCTATCCATACGGTTAATATAGAGATTTTCTATACACAATTGACAGACAAAATCTTAAGACGCATTCCTCGTGTTAGAAATCTATTTTTAAAATAGGAGAATCTGATGCATACGTTGTATGAATATTTATCTATTTTTTTTGCAAAAATTATTACTTTTTTAATCCTTTGGCTACCGCCGACGTATATATATACGTCATGAACTTTATCAGTGTCTAAAACTAACGCAATCAATCGTAGTGTATAAACTTCCAAGTACAGGAACTACTTTCACTACATGATGACGCAAAGATATCCAAATGTTTATCCTCCCGTGCAGAAAAGATATTTCAAAAATAACCTCAAGATCCAAAATATTAAAAGATCGGTCAAATTCTCTCACTTAAATTCCACACTATATTTATCTTATTCAGTTTTGGACGCTCTTTCGAATGACTGAATCAGAATCTTTTTTCAGTCACTTATACCTGAGATGGAGCAGTCACACTGAAGAGTATGACACTTCTGGCTTAAAGTCGTGTTTTTACCCTAAGAAAAAAGCTTTTCAAAATTATTTTTTTATTAAAATGTAGCTCGCACTCTACTCTGTCGATTGATGTAGTTTTCGTATGTTGTCGGTGTTTATACAGCGTAAAAAAAGGTTTTTATCAACTGTACGAAAAAGTTTTGCCGATCGGAAAACGTTCACTTTTCGATCTAATGAGCCTTACAGAGAACAACAATGAATATTTTTAACTTTTTTTGTCTACAGATATACTAGAGCGGAGAATATTTTGGTGCAAACCGCTTTTTAAAAGCTTTTTTTGTTACCCAGTTATGACCTAAAGAAACAGAGGATAGGGATGTACGGAAAATTTTTGCCGCCACTATATATATTATCAACTGTTTCAAAGATTTCCATACCTTACAGAAGATTTAATGTTACCTCCTATAAATCTGTAAAATTGGATCAAAAATAAATAGTTATAGTGATTTTCTAAAGAACTTTTTTCTCTCTCTTATGTTGGTAGCCAAAGGGTTAACTGACATAATTGTCGAGCATTCAGAAAACGTGCTGAAATCCATAGAAAATATGCTTGTGAAGACAAAAGAATTAGTACAATCGAAAGAGAAGAGTTTAAGGTCCCACACCATGTATAAATCTCAAAATCGAGTGTTTTTGGACAAATTTTAGAAAGCTTGGCAAATCAGAATAGTCACAAATATCAACTGTACTCTAGAACATAATCAACATTTATGAAGAATGTTGTGAACCTCTTCCTTTTAATACAGAAGATGGCTGAAATGTTCTTCTGTCAAGATTTAAATATAAGAGGATTCTGTTGTCTTTCTTCATTGTTGTTTTTTATTAACGAAGACAAAGATTACGTATCACAAATACTTTTAAGTTTTTTATCTGTTCCTTTACCTCTTTGAGAATTCTTTCATTGAAAAATTGTTGTAATTTTTCATTGCAATAATTAATGCAAAACTGTTCAAAACTATTTATAGGAAAATATTCTAGAAACAAGAGAAAAAAATAGATAATATTGTGAAAAAGAAAATTTAGTTTTCATATACATACCGAAACCAGCAATGTCCAATATTCCAATGTAATTAACTGATGAACTGAATGGAATAGATTTATTAACTAGATTAACAATTTGATCAAATAATTTTACATATAAAGCTTTGGCTAATGCGTCACGAGCTCCTTGAGATTCATAAGCTTTTAATGGAACACTTAACAAAAAAACGTAGATCATCAAGTAGATATAAAGTTAATAATAAGTGAATACGAACGGTATAGATTTTTCATTTTGACTACTGCTTGTTTTTGTCATTAAAACACGTGTTATTAATGCCATTCGAAGTTCTTTAACTTGAAGTCCAAGCATTTCAGCTGTTATTGTCAATGATTGTTCAGTAGATGCCGTTATTTTACAACCACCTTAATAAATAAATAAAATCTTATACATTTGTACATATTTCAACATTTAATTAGATTATGTAAGAAAAAATCGAAAAACTTTTTCGATGAATGTATTTAAATAACTAGTCAGTATAAAAGATTTATTGAGAAAGACAGGTTAAGGTTCACCACCCCGTCAGAAACATAAATCTTTTTATAAAAAGTCGATATTGAGCTAAGCACATCATAAGATAGCCCACAGTATTTAATATCACGATCCAATATTATTTGGCCCACATCAAAGGGTAATGGAGGTTTTTAGAAAAGTTTTCTAAAAATCTTGAAAAGCTCATTTTTCGAAAAAAATTTACTTTTCAATTAAAAAGCAAATCGAGAACTACTTCTAGTAATACCAGGAAATCATACCAGGCAAACATTTCTGATCAAAATGAGATATCTCTAGCTCTGAATGATGTTCTAATCAAGAGTTTTGCTGCAAGCCCTAAAGCTTGCATCAGATACTGGTGCCGAAATATCTCGAAAGCGATTTTCACCGTAACATCATTTCATAGCTGCACGATTTCTCGGTAACGAAACATCGCAGAGAGCTCGGAAAGGCCTTAAATTGAAGCTGACACATGTGGCTAGAGGCTAATAGAGCCCTATTTTTGATATTCGATCTAGATTTGTGATTAGAAAAACATCTGTACCAAAGTTAATGAGATTTTTTCGAATTTTGGACTTTTGACGCTGACTATTAATTTGAAAAGAAAAATATCAAAAAGTCGGCTCTATTACCCTCTAGCCACATGTGTTTTCGTCCATTTAAGATCAGTCCGAGCTCTCCACAACGTTTCGTTACTGAGAAATCTTGCAGCTATGAATAGTCTCATTTTAGTTACTGTTGGGGCGATATCTCATAAACCATGGACGATGGAGCCAGACAAAAAATTTCTTCTCCATACTTTCATAAGATCAACATCTTCTAAAAGTTTGGTCAAGATCGGATTTATAGTTTCAAAGATAGGTGTCTGACGGGGGGGGGCGGGGGCTTAACTCATTTTTAAATCAGTAAAAATATTATAAAATCAAAAATTTCAATGGGTATAGTCTCATTCACTATATCCATCATAAATTCTCCATTGTAGTATCTCACTACTCAATTTCAATGAATAATTATTAACTAAGATAATTGAAATATGTCTTGAATTCTAAATTGTCAACAATTCTCTAAGAATTAAAATATATTTTTTTATTACCTTTTGTACTTTCTGGATCATCTTCAAAGCTAATATTTCCTAAATGTAATACAGCTGCCACTGTACTATAAATATTAATTTTATTTTGAGACGTTAATCCAATATGATCCATTGATTTATCACATTCCATAAAATCATTCATATCATCTAGTTGAGGATCATGTAATGGACCTTTGGAAATAAACTAAAATAAAACCATAAATAATTTTAATAACATATAATCAATGAACTATTAGACAATTTGTGCAATAACAACAAAATTTAAAGTATAAATAGCAAGACATCTAGCTAGTTAATAAATTAAAGAAAAAGAGAACAACATCTACATACAGTACGGTGAAAGAATTGTGATATCATTTTCCGATCTTTGAATTTAAATATTCTAAGCTGTAATAAAATGTACGTTAAAAATGATTCAAATTGAAAAAATTAAATTTTTCATTTATAAATTATTCTATATTTTTAAATAATTCTATTCCAAAAAAAGTAGCATTTGCACACAGATCACATGATTAAACATTGAATGATCGGAAAATGATTTTACAATTTTTAGATGTACTATTCACGACTATAACTTACAGACGATTGAGATGACTAGAAAGTATGTTGTGAAAAGTAGATTAAAATGATTTTTCTCTGTTTAGATGTACAAGAACTAACAACAAAATGAGACAGTTGACGAAATATACCCAAAATCTAAAAATTTTTTTTTTTTTTTTTGTTTTAGCAATTAAAATATGGTTAAACAAACAATGGTTTGTTAATCACGACATTACATAATTATATATAATCATTTTAAAAAAAAATAAAAATAAAACAGCGTTTACTGTACTATTTTGTTACTTACGCAAAAAAACTGAAATAAGAGTCTGCGTTGTTTTCCTAAGATCATCGAAACGATATGATTTTATAACTTTTGAACTGATAGTCGAAGTTTATACATGTAGAATAACTAGACACAATTTCAAACGAGTTTTCTATACAAGCTACTTTTTATTTCCAATAAGATTTAGAAAAAACTAAATTCGATAAATATTTTGCGCTCAAATTTAAACATATTCTTCGTACAAAAGATTTTATTGACATGGTATTATTTACCTCACGACTTCGTCGATTTTGTGCTAATTGTTTTTCTGATTGTGCATTACAAAAATATTGTGTACAACCACGATTTAAATACTTAAAGATGAAAACAAAACAAAATAATTCAAGAGTTATGAGAGAAGGAGATATAGGGAGAGGAGGCTCAAAAAAATTGATCATACATCTTAGTTTTTGATATTTTCTTATCGATCATAATAACTGAAACATCAAAATTATCTGAAAAACTCAAAACTTTAGAAAACTAACTTCACAAAGATATTTAGGATTTAGAAAAATTTAAAACTAAGATGTATGAGTAATTTTTACATTCTAATGTATATAAGAAAATGACTTACATGAAAACTATCCGGTGAACCTAATCTTAAAGCACTTCGAATACTTTCTGGTGCACCAGCACATAAACGATAAAATATGTGATAATTTCGTTCATCTTTACTTTGAACACAAATACGACTTTTTTCTAATAAATAATGAGAAATATATCCGCCAACGACTCGATGCTAAATAAAATAGAGAAAAAATATATTTTTTTATTTAATAAATATTTAAAAATAAAAAAAAATACCTTTTCATTAAAATGAATTTCAATAAATTTTCCGAATCTACTTGAATTATTATTTCTTGTCGTTTTTGCATTTCCAAATGCTTCGAGTAAAGGATTAGCTGTTAAATATAAAAATAATTAACAAATATATTGACAAAGAACGAATGTGACTTATGAGGAATCATTCTCAAGTCACCAACTCAGTTTTTTTTCGTTCATATGTGGATCGATAGAGTATCTTGAGATAGTCTAAAGCCTAAAAGGATTTGGGCTCTTATTGCTTCCTGCGAAATTTATTGAATTTTTTGAGTTTTTCCTTCAGAGTCTTAAAAAGACGCAATATTTTAGTTTTATGAAGTTTTCTTTCCTTTCGTATGTATTCAAAATTTTTTCTTATATACAAAAAAACGTATTTTGTACACAGGTCACTTTTTTTAGGGCATTTTGCGTGATGCTTATATCTCCATCAAAACTCATCACAAAATTCTGGAAGACGTCTCATATTGAAGAGAAGGCTTTCTATCAGACTATGTATAAGAAAAAGTTTTGAATACATACGAAAGGAAAGAAAACGTTATGAAACTAAAATATTGAGGCTTTTAAGACTTTGAAGGAAAAAAAATTCAATAACTTTTGCGGGAAGCAATAAGAACCCAAATATTTTTAGTCTTTTGACTATCTCAATATACTCTATCGTTCCACATATGAACGAAAAAAAAACTGAGTTGGTGACTTGAGAATGATTCCTCGTTAGAAAAACTAAAACGCAAGAGATGGTGAAAATAGAAAAATCAACGATTCTTACATTTATTAATTCTGTCTTCTATTTGACCACTATGTGTTCCATATGATTCGGTAAGATATTGTAAGATATATTTAGCTGACTCTGTTTTACCTAAATTATAAAAAAAAAATCAAATGAAAATTTATTTATACGATAACTATCGCGATATAATTACCAGCGCCTGATTCGCCCGAAACAATAATCGATTGACTTTGACGAAGAGCGCGCATATCACGATAAGCTTTATCACCTAAAATTAAAACAAGAAATAAATATATACCAGAAGAATAACTAACGAATTATCTATATTTAAACTAACGAATATATGTGTACTTTCTAGGAACCATGATGAAGTTACGAAGAAGAACAATTTGTACAAACATCTAATTTTCAAATCGAAACTTTATAAAGCTAAAATTCATAATATACTCTTGAAATTGTTTTTTAACCCATGTTTCTATCGATCTTGTGGGATCACAAAGACACGGTTCCTACACATCTCCCTGAGTTTCCGATTGTTTTTAATCAGGATGGGGAGATTTTCATGACAGACAGCCTTTTTAAAAAGTTGGAAGGCAGATTTTTCTAAATAAATGAAACATTTGTAAAATGAAAAGAATCTCTATAAAGTTAAATAAAGAGTAATAAAAGGTTAGATTTTAGGCAGAATAAAATTCCAAAATTGGAATTTGACTCTGGTTGACAATAGCAAAATTTAGGGTGGAGATGTCTCCTACTTCTCCACCGTAATTGGAAACCCTGTATACGAATGTGTGAAACATTTATAACATTTTGACGTAACTTGAAGACAATGTTATCGTCACATTTTGAGTAATTTCTCTCGAATTATACTTTTTTGGACGGCAAACTATGAGTGTTGAGTATGAAAAACAAAAATGGTGTATAATCGAGAGTCGCTTACCAATAGCGAATACATGTGGTTCCATAACACCCAACGATTTTCCATTATAGTTTTTAACTGTTTCGACTGAATATATACCATATAATTCTTCATACGGATTAATAGCAATAAGAATATTTGCAACATATGTCTAGAAGTAAAACAAAAATTCATTCAGATTTATTTTCTTAAATTATAAAGAGAAGATAGTTACATAAATGCGATTTTTTTTGTATCTTGATCTTAGATTGTTCAATAATGTTGCTTCATTTAAATACATCAATGCACCTAAAAAATAATTAGATAGAAAGTTTTATTTAATATTTAGTTTTTTTGTCAAAACAAAACAACTGACAGTTATCTGGAACATCTTTATCGTATTCTTCAGCTGGATAGACGGAATCGTATGTCGTCACTAATGTCTGAAAAACAAATAAAAAAAAGAATAACATTACTTAGACAAGACACTGTTTCTCATAGAGTTCAAGTGATTTCGATAAACCAAGTAACAACATCTGCTATCTGTGAGAACATTAAAACACTCTAACTGTCATCGTCGAAGAAAATATTTCCAATATTCAAACAATTTTATACAATGGCACGTTCGATACATTTAGAAATTTTTGATTTGCTAATATCCGTTTCACTTGCATAAAAAATTCACATCATTCTCAAAATTTTTTTGAATTCAGAATAAAATCATCATACTATGAATGAAATATAATTAAAAAAAAAGAACAAACATACTTTATTATTATTTGAAAGTAATTCTATGGTGACATTATCTGTGCCAATATCGGATATTCGTCCAAGAAGAAAGCCGTGTTCAGCATCTCGAACCCAAACTCTTTTTGCATTATTCAACATTTTGCCGTCGTACCAAACGACGGTGGTTACTTTTAGTCAATTTTTTTCTATTTTAATTATCTGAAAAAGGCAAATAAAACACAATAAATTGATTTCATGAGGTGTGTAGTATGGATTTGTAAAAATGTTTGTGTTTACTCCGTTATTCATCCAATTTAATAAAACGGTCAACGACGAACGAAAAAGCTTTTTATTTACATTTGACATTGAAGAAGGAAGAATAGAATTCAATCAAGTAATTAATCGTGTATATTTTCTTGTTTTGGAAAGAAATAAAGAAAAAAAAGGGTGGGCGAAAAGCGAAGTAAATAAATATTTATCTATCGATATATGCATAAAAAGATGAATAAATGGAATGAATCTCGGCAAATAATCCGCGAAATATCAATACTTCTATACAGACGTGTTGTAATTTCGTTTGATAGGCTAGAAGACAAACCAATTGTAAATAATCTGTACACACGCGGCATTCTTACTTTTAACGATATCATTTTTTAAGATGTATAAATCTTAAAAAATTGTATAGTAACATAAAACCGATTTAAAAAGTATCTTATGTGAATTATCTATTTGAATTTTTCTAGTAAAAATCGCTCCTACTATTTAAAGTCTGCAAAGACTTTTCTGATTCGCTCAAATTAATGATGCTGACTTATTTGTTTGTGAAAATGAAAACATGCTACATTTGATCTCGTTGCTTATCATAATCACATTAAAATTGAAGCTTCCTGTTTAGACGACAAAAGTGATACTGTATCTCAACAATATTAATACTGTAACCTTTTTTTCTTTATATTTAATTCAATCCTTATAAAAATTGAAATTGTGCATTGAGTTGTGTATGAAATCATGACAATCACTGTAAGAAAAATTCAAATGACGAAGAAAGACAAGTTTAAGTACCAGACTAATTCTTCTGCTATAGAGAAAGATTCTTGAGCTTGTGTTATCAATATTTTTAAGTTGTTGAACTTACGCACTGATGTTTAATCGGTTTTAGAGTATCATTGTTTAGCATTGTGGAGATATCGTAAGTTAATGCTTAATTTAAAATCACATTCTATGAAGTTAACACAAAGATAGATCAGAATAAAGACTAATTTTCAATGAAAAATCAACAATTCATTCAATCCCTACAGTAGATTTGCAAGTATTTTCTAAGGGGAGCCCAAGTTATTACACCAAATCAAAAGGCGTTCTTCTTCAGACGAATTCAATCTCTTTCATTTTAGGTTTCAGTTCTGAGTTAACATCGCTCTTATGTGAGACTGCAACATGTGTTGTAAGTTAAACTGCCCATATTTACTCATCTTTTTATGATTTTTAATTTTTTCAGTATTATTGAATTATTACTCTACTAATATCTGAAAAATTAATAATCATTTCTTCTACTCAAGGTTTTATCATTTTTCTCTAAGAGTTTTTAGTATGCACAATGCTCAGAGTTACCTTTTTTTCGCATGAGTGATACAGACAGGTATACAGGTGCAAATGAATAGGCATTGTTGATAGTTGATATTTTATTTCATTATTTCCAGTACAAGTGTATATCAAAAACAGAACACAAAAAACATATCATAACAATGACTACTGATAACATCGAGTCGATTGCACAACTTCAATCGTTGTACAGAATATACAGTAGAGTCCCATGCTTTATATTCCGTTTTGAATGAAAATATATCCCGATCGGGATATAGTCAAAAACATTGTAGTCCAGTTGGGATATACATTCAATTTTTTTTTAAATAAAATTCATTAGCAGAAAATTTTGGTCATATCACGCAAAAGAGCGTAAAAACCTTCGTCAAAGTCTTTTTTCCGATCGACCACCTTTTTTTAAATAATTCTCGAGGTTCATATTCTATATCTCGATCAGGATATTTTACTATCTATTTTGAACACTTTCTCGCAATATCTTAACATTTTTTTTTACTCTGAACATGCATAAAGCAGTAACATTCGGTGAAATATTCAGGTAAAGTCGCGCTCATTCACCGTGATTCATCGTCCACCCAGCAACGTAAACGACATTGTTTACAAAAATAGTTTTCGGATTCGAAAATTGCATTCAAAAGTTTAAAGTTTTAAAAATGCCGAGGCGTTTGCATTACTCAAGTTCTGGCATGTGATGTGTTATGTTCTATATCATTGCACTACAATGGTCATATTAACTAGTTTTGAGCGGTTTTAAACTACGACTCTACCTTAAGGAAACTATAGCACGCTTGAGATACATTTTTATAGCCCAGTTAGGATATATAGCTCGATCGGGATATGCTTACTCATTGATATAGACACAGAATGGTGAATTTAGTTTTGCAGTTTACTGCAAAGCTAAATTCATGTGTTCGAATCTTTATTCGTATAAAATTGATTTTGTTTTAGTTTAGAATACTATAACGGAATATTTTTCCGCTTGTATTCTGACAGAATAATGCTTATTATATCAGAGGACAGGTTGACCCATCCCTGATTGAATATTTGAGTGCTCATTTAATAATATTGATGAAGATGTTGTAAATAAAAATGTATAATCTTTTCCATTTTGTTTTGAAGTTTATCTTCTTTCATTATACATTAACTCAAATAATCGGCATAGTTGTTGGTTACTTCTATTGTTCGCGTAGTTTTGCCGACATATTTTTGTTATGATTATTAGGTTATCTTTATTTATTTTTGATGATTAACGAAATTCACTTCACAATGAAGTAAATTCAGCTAGATTACATGCTCGAAGGTAATAAAACGAGAAAATGAAAAGGCTAAACTAAATATTTTATTTTTATAATTTCATTTAGAAACTAAAATAAAAACAGTGCCTAGAGTTGTTGACAATCAAATATTTTTATTAAATGGTCATGTTTACAATACGGTTATAAATGATCACAACAACAACAATGGTGCCACAAATTATGCTTATGAAAACGGTATGATACAATACTTTCTCGATGTGTTTTAACTATTCTTAGATAGAGTTTTTCTGTTATTACCCAAATTCTATAAGATATTTCTCTAGAGGTAGTCCTAGTAATGTTTACTTAACCCTTTCTTGCCCTATAAAAACCATTTTATAAAAATTTAGTTCACTTGAACTAGCAAATGTCTCGTAATACTGAGCGTTCTTTATCTCATAGGGTATAGTCTATGACAAACATCTCAATCTGTGTCCTACTCTATCCTATTCTATAAAAATGTTTCGTACCCATCGTCATCCTACACACTTCTATTGTCCTTCAGAACTGTCAGCTTTAGCCAAAGACAAGAAAGGGTTAAGCATTAAACTGATGCACCGTTATTTTCTTCTTCGATGCGTGGATAAATAGATACTATATCTAATTCTAATACAATTTCTATTGAATTGTATGCATCGTTTATTCACGTTTAATAAATAAATATTCATTTATTATCTTAATTTTTATAATTAACTTCTAATTATTGTCATAGGCACTGAAAAAGTGCAAAGTGGAAATATTAAAATGAAAAAGATTCAAAATTCTAAATTGAACAATGGAAATTTGTCAAATAGTAGCAGCGATGATGATGACGACGAAAATGTATACGAAATAAAACCATCGAATGATGAAACTGAAATATTACTTTCAGGAAGTGCGTATTGAATAGTCTAATAAAAGACAAATATTAGAAAAAAACAAATTTTTTCTTTTGTTTTAGATAGTACTGAAATCGATCCACATATTCCTGATCATGAAACATGGTATGCAGTGGCCTTACAAGTTTTTATCCCATTTATGATTGCAGGTTTCGGTACAGTGGGAGCCGGACTCGTACTCGATTATGTTCAGGTATGAAATAAATAAACAATAATTTAATTTGATATAAAAATTTAAGCAGGAAAAAACTTTGGTCAACCATAAAACATATCTTTTTTTGATTCTAAATTAGCTTATTTAAAAAAAGCTATTTATACTAACATCTCAATACTATGGGAATATAACGTAAAGTAAAACTATTTACTAACAATGCCAAATAGTAAACACAATGCTTAAAGGAATTTCTTTAACTGATGTTGTTGATGTGTATTAATAATTATTCTTATTTTTCTCTCATTTTAGTGGGTATGTTATTTCTTTTTAAAACACTTTTCATCTAATTCGTATCTCTATTTCTTCTGTATGTGTTTATTTATTTTAACATTTGCTGCTTGTATTTTTACCTGCTAATATTGAACTTCTTTTGATTCTTTTTAATTCTTGTATTGTGTTTTATTAGATGTGCACAATGAGGTAATTTTTCTTCTACTAATACACTAATATCCTCGGTGAAATTCCCATTCCCCATGTAGGTGGATCAGAATTAACAACCTGTAGATATCATTTCTATAGATAAATAATTATCACTTGGTATATGTTGTAATTTTAGTTAGTTAAAAAAAAAAATAGATTATAAAAATAAAATATTTCATTTCACAATGAATGACTGGTAATTATAAAAGTAAACACATATAAATTGCATCCCACTTACATGTAGTCAACTGATGGTGTTTGAATTTTGAGCTTTTGAGCTACTGTTTGACAAAAAACATCATATTTGAGGCAAAAAATTGAGTTGGGAAGGTATTGTCTTCTTCTATTGGTGAATAGAAATAATGACATGGAAAATTTCTTTATGTACAGCGAATTTGTTTATACACCACACCGATGCTAGTAGTAGCAGCAATCACCAATTTTTATTTCAAAAATTGTCATTATGCTTAATTGACACATATCAAGGATATTAATAATTCTCATGAATGTTCAATAAAATGCTACTGTATAGAATCACAGTGTACATTTAACAATTCAAAAAAAAAAAAACATCGATTACAGACGTTTTTTAAACTTTTCTCTCACATAGACTCTATTTTAATGTTGTTAGTAGATATTTTATTTTGTTTTTTTCTTATTGTTGTTACTTATTTGTGATTATTAATTGATTTATCTATGTTTGTTTCATTTTTATTTAGAAATGGCGAGTATTTAAAGAAATTCCTGAAATTTATATATTAGTACCAGCTTTATTAGGTTTAAAAGGCAATTTGGAAATGACTTTAGCTAGTCGATTATCTACACAGGTGAATGAGAAAGGTGTGAAATTTACTATAAATTCTATTATTTAAAGAATCTTTTATTTATCTTGTTTTATAGGCAAATATTGGAAATATGGATAAACGAAAAGAATTAATTAGTATGGTGACTGGAAATCTTGTTCTTACGCAAGTAGGATTTTACTTGCATAATAAACGATGTTTTCTTATGTGTGTGTGTGTGTGAGTTGTGTGTATAATCTTTGTTCTCTATATTTAAGCTACAAGCAATCGTTGTTGGTTTTTTAGCAGCTTTAGTTGCTCTAGTCATGGGCTGGATTCCAGATGGAAATTTTTCAATTCGGCATGCTTTAATTTTATGTAGTAGTAGCGTTTCCACAGCATCACTTGCTTCGTTGGCTTTGGGTATGTACCATTTTTTTTCCAATTTTCTAACCTAAAATAAACTGCTCAATTATGTGATTTAGCTTAGTTTCAATATTCAAGGGTACACACCCTCCCTCATTTTTGAAACAAACGTGGTACATGATAGAATGACATGTCCGCTACATAACAGGATTACTCCCAGCACTCTCTTCATAACTTTCTACCGGATAGATACGAATCTTTTACAGTTTGTCACTTTATTCTAAACAAAAACTCTATTTTTTATTTTCGCAAAATCTTTTTCTTCATTTCAAAAAAGTGAGTTTGTTTGAAAATACCTATGCTTCAGAGATAAAATGACTTTTTTGAAAATTTTTCCAGATTTTCCGGTCAAAACCTAAGATTCTAAAGGTTTTATGCATATTTTCACTATTAATTTTGAACAAAGCAATATTTATCAAAAAAAGAAATGACCTCGAAGATATCCATTAACAATCTATAAGTGATAAAATTGTCAGCTCGACAGGATGACATTTCATGGGAGGCGTAAACGGCGCCGACTGAAAAGTGAGATTTCTGTAAAACTTGTGAACAAAGATAACTAAAAGGTTTGCGGCGGTTTTGAAAGATACGTCAAAGACTAGGACGATATCAGATTTTACACAAGCTAGGAAAATATCAGATAATAACTCTTTAATCTGTTGGAGTAGTAAAATTCCAACCGAAAGACCAAAATGAGAGGGGGTGGAGGGAACCGAATATCCTTAAGGAAGGACACATTAATAAGAAGATTTATGTTTAAATATTCGACTAACGACGTTGTGTTGATATTATACACTGATTGTTGAATGATGGTGTATATTCTTTCTCCGTAGAGGTTCTGAAATTGACCTCTTATTAGATTCTTTCTAAATTATTTTATTTAATAAAATTTGTAATGTTTCAATATTGAAGACGTTCATTTTAGACCTATGAAGTCTAATAGTTATGTTAGAAAATTGATTTCTGAAAATTCATTACATAATTATTGGACTCGACATGTCTGAACTGTCTAGACACTAACGTTTAGCTTAGTAGTTTTTTAGATTAAGATGATTTTTTATTATTTTGTAAAATGTTCAATCTTAAATTGTTTTTATTCATCGTTTATTTAATCTTTTGTTTAGGAATAATTATGATTTTTGTTATTGTTTCGTCTCATTATTGTAAAATAAATCCGGATAATGTAGCCACGCCAATAGCCGCTAGTCTTGGTGATTTAACAACATTGACAATTTTAGCTAATGTTTGTGCTATTTTACTCAAAACGATGGGTAAATTAATTAATCTATATTATTATTATTTTAATTTATTTTGTTTTATCATTGTAGAAAAACACTATTGGTTACCTATTATTATCACATGTCTATTTCTCATCGTTATACCTGTTTGGATCGTCATATCATATCGAAATAATTATGTTCGAGATGTTCTCTATTATGGATGGTATAAATTTCTTCTTTTTTTTTTGTTTATTATTATTATGTGTAATCATGCCTATATTCTAGGTCACCGGTGATTGCTGGAATGTTGATCAGCAGGTGAGACGAGTTTTTCTTTTCTTTTTTGTAAATTTCGAAGGAATAGAAAAAATAACATTATTAAGATTTAGAATATTTGTGCACTTACTGCTAAATAAATTATGATTGTATATTATCGAACATTTTTGAGTTCTGTCATTACTTCAGTTACTTAACGTATTTCTTGTTATCTATCATGTTTTATGAACATATTTTTCGAACAAAATATTGAATTTTGTCTTCTTCTAGTGCTGGTGGTCTTATTTTGGATTTTGCAGTAGTACAATTTCGTGGTCTTGCTGTTTTTCAACCAGTTATTAATGGTAAATATTAAATAGAATTCTATTAGAAAGAAACAAGTGTCTGATTCGTATTCACACAATATTCAGCTTAAAAAAAATTCATAAAATGTTGTAGAAAACAGTTAAAATTACTGAGGAAGTATCCTAAAACATTTTCTTTTTATCCTTATTCCATTTTTATGTAAAATTCTCCTCTGTTAAGTTAATAATGTATTTTTTAGTAATAACGCTCGTTTTTATAGGTGTTGGCGGTAATTTAGTTGCTGTTCAAGCTAGTCGTTTATCAACAGCTCTACATCGACAAACCAAACCTGGTATAATGCCTGCTGGTGTAAAATCAGCATGTCCTAATCCATTAAGTGTCTATTTTTCTTCAAGTAAGCATTAAATTATTGTCATTGTATTTTTGTTTTATTTTTTATTTTTTAATAGAATGGGACTCAGTGACAACTCGTGTATTATTAATTATGGCTATACCTGGTCATCTTGTTTTTATATATTTTATTTCGAGAATGGAAGCTGGTTATAATTTCGTTACAGTTACTTTTACAATATTATATCTTATTGCTGCTTTAATACAAGTAAGTTTCATGTAGATATTCTTACAAATAAATAATTGACAATTTTTGTATAAAGTAGATCAAGTAATCCGATTAATTTCAAATAAATCAGTTAACACTTGTAATCTATTATACGTTTACTTTCCTTTGTATAAAGACTAACATCCATTTTTTAAAAGAATACTTATGGTTAGTTTTTGAATAGGTTTTAAATGACAAATGTTAGAGATATGCGTTCATTTCGCCAGTCGAAGAAGGAGACTCGAAAAATCTTTTCATTAACAAAACAAAAAAAAAAATTTTTTTTTTATATATAAGAAACCTACTACTACTTTTTCAACGTCGAACGATATTCGAAAGGATCTCTAGAAAACTATGAAACAAAAAAATCTCTTTTCACTATTTTCGATCTCATAATGGCGTTTAGTCTATCAAAGTAACCTCATTCTGAAGTTTTCAACGTGGTCCGATGTTTTTTGAATGAACCGTGAGGTTTTTCTAATATTATGTAGAAACAGTCTGAAAGTTCTAATTTTGTAAAACTCCCTTTTATCAGCCTTTGATTTGCAAGGAAAGTGAATACCATATCAGAACACTGAAATTCGAGTTTTCGCTTAACTCTCATTGCGAAGAGCTCACGTAGAAAAGACACTCTAGTTGTCGTTGAGAAGAAAATATTTTCGTTTGATTTATTTCTATAAAGCAATGAACAAGTTATCATCGCTTTCAGCTTTTGATCTGCACTATGAATAGAGTGTCTGAATACAAGTACAGTTTTAAAAGACGTAAAGGCAAACATGAAGCCAGTCGTAACACCGAGTCTTACAAAAAAATAAACGTGTAGCGTCAGCTTTTTTCTATCAAACTGCCGACGATTGAAACGCCTTACCAGAAACGGTTGTTGTGGTACATACTCTAGGTCAGTTCAAAGCGAGGCGTAAGGCGTTTTCTGTTGATTTGTTTCTGTTTCTGTACTCTATTCTGTAAGAGTGTATATATAGGTATAAATGTGTATTCTCTCTCTTGTAGTTGGTTACACCTTGTACTTGTAGACACGGTCACCTGGAATGTGTATAAAATACAAGGTTTTTACTTTTTCTACTTTCCCACAGCAGCTGTTTTTTTCATAAAGTTCACTTTGTTTGTAAAATAAAATCACGTTTAAGTTCCAGTTAGTTTATGGAGAACTAGATTAACTTTCCAAAGATCGTCTCAAAATGTTACTTTTGAAAAGTAGTTTAAAATTTGTTTTGCTAATGAAAAGATGACTTTTCAAATCTTTTCCTTCGATTGGGCGAAATGAACGCATATCTCTGACAATTTTCATCTAAAAGCTCTTCACAAAATAGCCTCATATACGTTTTTTAAAAAGTGAGTAATAATAAATCGGAAAAATTATATTCTATTGAATAAACGCGCAGATATCGATTCAGAAAAAGTTATTAAAATATGTAAGAAAATTCAAGTAGTCATTTTTTAAATAACTAAATGTGTTTAAAACAATAAAAAAGGCGACTTTCTCAAGAAAAAAATAAAACAACAAAACTTTTCATACAGAAACGACTAACATTTGTGCATTCTCTGTAATCCTTTTGATGTGAAAACTAGAAACTATTTGACATATTGCATCGTCTATCTCGTTGAACATCACTATTGGTAAATAGTAAACTAGGATATATAACTCAAGTCGAAGTTTCTATAGAAATTTGAAATTGACTAGTTTAAACAAGATATACAAGCATAATCTTGTTAAAAAACCGAAAGGATGATGAAAAAATGACAAACTGAGAAACAGAACATTCTTCAACAGAAATATAAGTGTCTAAACGCTTTATTTTTCTATCATCATATCTAGACGTTTTTTATATTATTGTAGGTTGCCATCTTACTTTATTTGGCGCAATGGTTTGTAACTTTTGTATGGAAACATAAACGTGATCCGGATAATGTTTGTATACCATATTTGACAGCTATTGGTGATCTTTTAGGAACCGGTCTTTTAGCATGTGCATTTATTATTTTGTCGGTATTTGATAAAAATGTTTAGGCTAACAGTGAAATGAAAGAGTTTGTTTTTTTTGATTATTTATTTTCTATTCCATAACGGTTAAATGATTAATTTTGCCTTTAATAGTACACTTATTTGTATTGTTCATCATTTAGTAGAGAATGAATGTTTTTTGTTTTACATTCCACTATTTTGATGACAAAATATTATATTGTTGTATTTTGTACACTTTGTTCTATTTTTAATATGTTAAATTTTTCTTTTTGTTATTATTGTTTAATTTATGTTTTTCTGAAGCAATGATCTAAGATATTTTTTGATTCCATTACATACAGGGTTGTGCGTAAACTTTTTCTAGGGAGAGGTACAGCTCCAACGACAAATGATATAAAAATGAATTATATACCAAATGAAAGCTCATCGAAAATGGTATTATCGCGTATAACTGGTAATCCATAGGTTGATTATGAGCTATAGAATTATGAAAGTTTCTAGCGGATGCGTCATAATGAATGAGTCTCGTAGTATTTTCTATTTTTCTCGTGTTCCTTTAGGATCCTAAGATCGGTGTTTTTTTTAAAAGATGCGTCACAAAATACTCTACAAAATCATATCTAAAGTTTAGTTTTAGAACTTCAATCAAGAGAACTATGTAAACTATACGAAAGACGGAAAAACTGAAAACTTTCTAAATTTGGTATTTTTTTTCGACTTAAACTTTTTTTTTCTGCTTTCTGTAAAAAAGTGAGAAAGCAGTTCTTTTTGTACTTTAGAATATGCTCTTTCTCGTGGTCTGTAAAAAAAGCAGATGGTATGCTGGAGAACGAAATTTCAAAAATTTCTTCCCATTTTCAACAATGTACCCAAGCAAAAAACGAAAAATACGATCAAAGTTTTGCTTTTGGAGTTAGATAGTGAAGAGCAATCATTTCTGATTAAAACACAACAAACCCGATTGGAAAAAACTTTTGCTCTGATGAAGTTATAGAACTTTTACTGAAAGTACCACTATACCCAGAATTGACACACCCGCTAGAAACTTCCATAATTCTATAGCTCATAATCAACCTATGGATTACCAGTTATACGCGATAATACCATTTTCGATGAGCTTTCATTTGGTATATAATTCATTTTTATATCATTTGTGGT